CACCATGGGATGCAAAGTTCACTAGTGACGTGCGCTTCATCATTGCTATTGAAGGTCAAGTCTCGATTGACAGCGATGCGGTGCCCCCAACTCCAACCGAAGCTACGGACCTCTTGATCGAGTTCTGTAACTTGTTTGGTATTGTCCATGAACCCTGCCGATCCAAAGATCCAAGTATCTTGTCACCGATCAAGGCTGGGTTTCTTGCAGCCCTTGCAATTCCATTCTATCGCATGGCCAAGCTGGAACCACACTTACCTAGGCCATCTTTGAAACCACGAAAGAGTACCCCCATGGATGCTGATCAGGCAGCCAATATTCATCGATATACAGCGGAAGCACGCTACTACATGACGCTGAGCATGCATCCTTACGCTCTGGGGCCAGTCCTCTGGAGCATATTTTGGCAACCAGATATCCAGTGCAACCTCGTTAGTCCCTGGCTGGCTGCCATAACCAGCGTCATTCAGCCCGCCTTCAAACACTGCGATTTCGAGATGCTTATCAAGATCTTCCTGCTCCGCCGTCCTCGGGTAGCCATGTGGTGGCACGGCCTCTTCCTTCTGGGTAACTCCAAGATCTTGGATTTCATCCGCAACTATCTGACTAGGCTTGACGAGGGATGTTCGTATGACAGCCTGTCTCGTCCAGACATTGTTACGGCGGTATGGACAGGGGCACCACAATCATATCAAGATGACCCTACAGCCAGTGCCTACCATGATCTCAGCACGGCTGTTCCTCGTGCTGCCCTACTTCAGCATCGTCACACGCTGACTCTTCGCGATCCATGGCCCCTCTTTTACGGTTGGCGCCCCTTTGGTACAATTCCCAAAGAAACTATCGAGCCTGATCTGTATCCTTGGCTTGAAAGAGGTCACCATCGAGAGTACCGCCATTGGAGTTGGTGGTCAAAGGACGATGCATCTTTTGAACCTTCAGTGCATGTTGGCTATCGCAAAGAGACTGGTCGCTTTGACTCAAGCGTCCCAGATAACCTTGATCTCATTCCTTCTCCCAACTCTCTTGCGCCAATTCCACCCCCAACTGCTCTCCCCGTCGCTATCGAGCCCTCCCGCCGTGCTACTCTGCAAATGATCAACCACTCCCTCGGAAACATAGTTGGAGAGCGCAGCCTGAGCACAGCTGTCATTCCAGACTTGAACCAATCTCATCCATGGCTCAAGGACTGGACTCCTGTCTGAGTGCATCATCATATATAATACCCCATTCTCCGAATTTACGACCGTCATGTTACCATTCGTACGATATTTACACTTTAACGGCCGCAGCAGAAATCAGGCCTGAGCATTGGGTTTTTTGGCCCACAGCATTTTCGAGGAAGCGAGTCTTGGGTTAATCAAAAGAGGCATGATGAACTTTGCTGTTCCAATTCAATGTTAATGTCCATGAATTACGGTGCTTTCGTTCGGTTCTATGTCTTACTTCACTTTTGCCTTGTTACCTTTTCTTGATGATAAGGGCTCCTTGGAGGGAAGGAAAGCTTCTTTAAAGCATGGTGCCAAAATCAACTGATATAAAAATCTTCTAAAATATACTAAACTTGGCTAAGTCTTTTCATCACTTAGGATGATAGTCTACATTACAAGCAACATTTCACCGTTGAGCAGTGACAAAGGTAAACGGGGGGATGGTTGATGTTGATAGTATGCTATGTGTCATCCTCTTTCCTCGCAATCGTCATGGCTGTTCGAGCATCATTTCAACCTTCAAGCCCTCGGGTTTGGTGTTTTAATAGTGTGTGATTTCCATCCCCATACTGATAGCTGAATATGACAGCCGCCGTAACAATAGCATGAATTCGTTCCTTAAAGCGTTGTTGATAGTAGCCTGCATAGCTTGAGAGTAATCGACTAAAGATTTAATATTAGTAAGTAGATATCAATCAATAGTAGATAACATACCTTAGAGTTGAGCCTCTTGCATTGCCGCCTGAAGGCTAGCCTCGACGTTCAAGAGTCTGTACATGATGGATCGTCTTTCCTTCTTCTAATGATCAAGGAGCGCGTCGTTCAAAACTTTCTCGAGATGAGCAGTGATAGCGTTGGTGGCATGAACGCCTCAACAGATTGGTTGATTGCAGCTTGGCTTGGCTGTGGATTGATTGCATCGCAGAGTTCACGGCATCTTGGATGGCCAAGGTAAGTAAGGTAAGTACAAGGATTGCCGCATACTGAGGGTACCAGTCTGCAAGAGTATGCCACTCCTTGGGAAGGTTTGTCTCATTATATTTGTTCATTCCCAGTAGAACACTTATTAGGTGTGTCGCAGTTAGCCCCTCTTTAAAGGGGTCTGGGAAGTTCCCATCTTTGTTTGGCGTAAAGGTAGCCTTATATCGTGTCGCGAAAACACGGTAGTGCCAGTTTCTGGCGGTGAAGTAGACGTCGTAAACTTTCTTTTTGGGTATGTTGGCTAGGCAAAGCCGCAACTGAAGAATGACCTGAGAACGCAGTGAGAAGGCCACCTTCCGGCTTTGCCTCTTTGGAGTGAGGGCATCGCGGTTTGCCAAGGTAAGGAATCTGCCGTCCGGCCATTGGCTAAGGTGACTGAAGACCCACGGGTTCTTTCCCAAAGGTGAAGCTATTCGCAAAATCAAGGCAAGAGACAGAGGCCAAAGTAAGGAACTACCTTACCGATCAGCCAGAAGAAGGTCCTTCCGGAGCTGCCCGTGGCGACGGATAAGGCAAGGCTGCCCTCCACCTGAGGAGGCCCGCCCCGAAAGGTAAGGTAGTCATGAAACATTCATTCTCTCAATTTGACCAGACATTGCCTGGAAGTTTTCTTGCCTCTGCTTGGGGCACTCCCGGATTTACTATGAGTGTCATCGGTCCACGGCGTATCAGAGCCCAGCTTCCCCTTAAGCACAGCGGTTTTCTTTACTCAAACATGTGTATCTAATATCATGTATATTTCACAATTCATTATGTTTTTGCGACTCATATACAATGGCTGCACTAATAAGGTAATGAATACCACAGTATCCCATAGACTTAAACTCCTGTTAATCAATGACCATGCGATTCAGATCTCCTTCTCTGCCAAGTCACGCAGCAAGTTCCACTGGACTTCGATGTTGATCCTGTTCGATAACTGGCATTTCATATATGTTCCAGCCTCCAAGCTCTTGTGGCTCTTTTGTTTTGCTGCGTCTCCAATTTCTTGTGGAGTGGCCCTCTTTATTCTGCTCTGTTGAGTCTGCCTGTGTATCCTTACTTCGGTTTCTTCGAAGCAGGAATATTGCTGTGATTATGGTACACCACAGATAACAACGAGTCCTCCAATGACTCCTCCAATGATGGCACCAAGATTAGGGGAGGAGCTTCCAGATGGATCATCTTCTTCCGATGAACTGCTTATTGATTCTGTCGAGACACTTTGTGTGATATCGGTGGTGCTTGATGCTGTATCACTTGAGGTGCTGAAGTTGTTTGTGATGTCTCTGGTGTGCTTAATTCACTGGACTCGGACGTTGTCGTGAGGCCAATGGTCGGGGTTATGTAGTAATGGTCGGTAGTGGCTTTTGTTCCGCAGGCAATGTAGGAGTATGTCTGATCCACGCCAAAGGTTAGAAGGGCCATGGAACAGAATGATTTGCGACCACTAATCCCTAGGTTAGTACTTGAACTCAGGAGGTTTGGGCTATAGTAGTACATACCAAGTAAACGTCGTCAAGCCCTTGCTGCCTATCATACCACATCCATCTGAGCAGTCATGGCGATCAACACAACTCCCCGCTAGTCCACAGTCCGAAGCTGTTAGAACAGTTGTAGGGCAAAAGCCCCAGAGGCCATTACTTGTGTCGACTCGACAGTTAAACCCAGAATCGGCAGTTCTCTTCTTTTTGGGATCACCGTCTAGGTAGCCACAGGTTGAGAGCTCAGTGCTAATAGCCCGTGGTCCGAGAATGTTGCTCGGCTGTGGAAGAAAAGGGGCTTTAGTTACAGGAGGAAGTCCCGCATGGAGAGCGAGACTGGACCATGGGAAGATTTGAGAGACTGTGAGTAGATAGTACAAGGAAAGAGACCTCATCGTGAATGTTGAATTACTTCAACATGAAGAGAGGGTCAGAATGACTCGGAGAGAATATACTACGGTACTTCGTGATGAAGACACTAGGGATTCGTAAGCCTCCTTATTATTCTACACTGATCCAAGCTTTCTGTTCTTACTCTCTTCCCAAGGCTCAACCTGCATGAGTGTAGTTGTTGGTTGAGCCACCAGGACCCGAGGACTCGGGGCGCATGCACAGATTCCACCATTGGGTCGCTCCTTGTTTTTGTTTCCTATAAATTCTTTATAATTCAGTTTGAACATATGAAGGGCCTCTTCTATAAGGCTACGCATTCTCGATGTTTTCTGCCATGTAATTAGTATATGTCTCTGATAGTCACTTCAAACCTGTATCCAAGTACTCATCAACAGAAGACTTTGGCACTTGGAATCTCTCTGAAACTGTGTCAGTTTAAGATCCCCTTTCGTAACTTTTAGTCATTGCTTAATGGCAAAATGTTGGTTGTTGGTTGTGATATAGTGTCCTGTCATTTTAAGAGTGGGTTTCTCGCAACGACTAACAACCAACATGCAGCTTCAAGTCCAGGGTGATGCTGCATCGAGAACAAGATCGGCATTGCTCTTCTCAGCTCCGGGAAGACGTGGTTATTCTGTCATAGTTTCGAGACAAGTGAATAAACAGCTGTGTATATAATTCATTGATTTCATTGTCATCGGGTTGAGTGCTAAGCATACCATTCAGCCTTATGGGCCATCATTGGCCTAGTCAGGAAGATCAAACAACCAGGGTATCCTCACTTGAACTCGGGCGCTTAAACAACCCAAAAATATATATCACATCCTGGCATGATGATCCCCTGTCACTTACAACGGAACTTGCTGTTGGTTGTTGGTTGTGACTTAACCGATTTCCTCTCTACTCTGCCCCAATTCGTTTTCTTCCTCTTTTCTTAATTTCTAGGTCAACAATGAACTCATGTGGTGAGCTTTTTGCTTCGTTAAAGTTATGTATCGCAGGTTTATAGCACCACTGCTGGCAGTCTTTTGCTTCTTACTTGTCGTTACAAGTCTCTATCTTGGGCGTGACCACCTCACTTGGCGCTCTGGTTCTTATACTCCTGTACAGAAAGGGGAGGTTGAGAATGGCCCCAGTCTAATATCAACGACAACAGTCACGACTCAAGGGTCGAAAACTGAAGAGATTACTGCCCATACACCAACACCAACACCAACTGCAACCTCAGCTTCAACTCCAACAATCTCAAACGGTGAGTATATCATATTTTCTACGTTGAACAGGGTACTCATTTCTTACAGGTACTATACTGTCTGCTGAGCGTATATCACCCTACATAGCAGCTATACTGGACCCATTGTCTACGGCCCTTCCTCGTCTTGAGTGTCCTGCTCTGAACGAAAATCGCTACAAGATCCTCCAAGAGTCTCGACGTGGGGACAAAGTTCAAGACTCACAAGTTGATTATTTCTTTGCCCTCAACTTGCGGAACTGCATAGGCATCCTCCCGCGCCTGATAGGCAGCATTGTCGAAGCTGTTCGCTTCCTTGGACCCCATCGCTGCGCGTTATCTATCGTTGAGGGAAACTCCCCTGACGGCACATCCGATGTCCTGTCCGCTCTGAAGCCCTTTTTGGAAGACTTAGGAATTGTCTATTTCTACAACAGTTCCAGGGTCAACCCAGCGCAGGGAAATGCACGTATCCATAAGCTCGCCCAACTACGTAACTTGGCTCTCACTCCTCTTTACAAAGAACAAGTCAGTATCACAGACGAAACAACAGTGCTTTTAATCAACGACGTCTCTGCTTGCACAGAAGATATTCTCGAGCTCGCTCTTCAGCGACGCAGTCTCAACGCAGACATGACATGCGCCATGGACTGGACCTACGTAGGGCCTGATCCAACCTTTTACGATATCTGGATAGCCCGTACCATAGCAGGAGACTCCTTTTTCGAGGTCGGCTCGGACGGAAATTGGAATTCAGCTTGGAACCTCTTCTGGAACGCCCCTGATACACGCTCACGCTATGATGCACAACAGCCCTTTCAGGTGTTTGCCTGCTGGAACGGGGCTACAGCGTTTACTGCGGCGCCGTTATTACATGGTCTTCGGTTTCGAGATACTCGCAAAGGAGAATGTTTCCAAGGCGAGCCTCAGTTGTTTTGTAAGGATATGTGGTCCCGGGGTTTTCGCAAGATTGCAGTTGTGCCGAGTGTGAATCTAGAGTATTCTGATGAGAAGGCCGCTGACATCAAGAAGCTGAAGGGCTATGTGTCGGATATAATTGAAAGACAGGAGGAAAATGGGGCAATAAATTGGGTATACGATCCACCAGAGCAGGTTAGGTGCATGCCCACTTGGGAAAAGCAGTCTTGGAGAGCCTGGAACGAGACACTGTAATGAGACAAAGGACAGCGATTAGTGACACAATGGATATGGTTTAGAGGACATCACGAGTGGTAAGATTTTGAAGTGATAGTAGTAAAAGCAAAACAGACTTGTGTGTATTCACACATGTCCTATGAAAGGACATCCATGATCCCGCCGGATGTTTCTTATAAATACATATATACCTCAGCAACCTTAATCATTCTATGGGCTGTAATGTCAACTTTTGTCCAAAATAACAGGTATCGTGTGTCACTACCGCTTTGCTCCACCGACAAATGAGAGACGAAATCCAATTATTACGCTTTCCAATAGTCCATTGTCTATTGGTTCCAATACCAGCGCTGCCCAACGGGATCGAAAGCCCACCGTGATGGGAAGAGTGGCCGGCCTCCTGTCTGCTAGACATGAGGTCCAAGGTGAGGAGGAACTTGGTGGTGATAGGCTTGGGGAGAGAATTGTTGAGGAGGCCAATGAGGATTGGGCATGTATTGCCTGGGAGGTGGTGCATTGAAGTGATTGTTGTTGAATCCTCGCTGGAAACCATTACCACGGAAAGGAGCCATGTGGCCTCCTCGTCCGGAAGAAGGTCCGTGGTTGTTAGGGCCATGCCCGTTGGAATTGCCTCGCCACGACATCTGATTTCCGCGCTGAGACCAACCATTTCGTGGCTGGCCACCGTTCTGCATATAGGATTCCCCTCCGTGGTAAAACTGACGATCGCTTTCAGGTGAGGGTGGCCCATTGTGGTACGAGCGTCGACCATCGTTATAGTCACCGGAACCGTTTCCTAGACCTCCGCCTCGGCGGCCACCACGTCCAGGTCCTCCTCTTCTCCATCGATAAGGTCGTCGGGGACCACGAGGTTTTCGGTCGACCTGGAAATCGATCCTCTTGATGGGATGAGTAACCATTATGTCATCGATGATGCCGTACTTGATGAGCTCATCGTCACCTGTCGTCCATACCTGAAAAGCATTTTCCAGTCTCTCAATGTACTTGACTTCAGGCACCCAAGTTCGGACATATCTTCCGTTGTTATCATAGTCGAATGCTTGTTTAATAGGGTTGAAGATGCGTGCATCACCTCTGGGGTCATTGCCGACACCCGCCACATACTGCCAGTTCGCCCAGTTGGAAGACACATCATAATCTACCAGCATAGCTTCGTACCATTCAGCTCCGTAGCGCCAGTCAATGCCAAGATGCTTTGTGAAGAAGCTGGCGACATTCTGTCGAGCTCGGTTCGAGGTGTAGCCGGTATGATAGAGTTCTCGCTGGGAGGCATCAATCAGCCCCATGCCAGTTGTTCCTCGGAGGAACCTCTCAATGATATCACCCAGTTCCTCGGGTGAAGGATCTTGATCGGCTTCGGCTTCCTCCTTCAGAGCTGTCTTCCATTTCTTATCATACTTGCCACTGGCTCCCTTGAAACCATCAAGCTTGAAAAGACGCGAGCCAAACTTCATCGTGCACAGCCGCATGTAGTCCCGCCACAAGAGCTCAAATCTGACAGCTTTGGTGCCTTCGTTCTCTCCTTGTCCGAAGCCCATAGCTCTAGAGTAGGATTGTTCCTGACCATCCTCGAACTTGACAAGTTCCTCATGAATGCAGCGAGCTGAAATAGATCCGAGTGCCAGGTATGCTGAGAGCTTGGTACTGTAATCGGTTCCTAGTAGACCATTGCGGGTCTCCTGGTAAGTCGTCATGGAGCCCGACTTGATGAGATGGTAAAGGCGGTCCCAGGCAGGGTTCTCCCCACCTTTGAATGGATGTGCAGACCGAGCATCTTCAGGATACGCTGGAGGTTCTGTCACCATACTGTTGATGGGCTGTAGGAGACGTTGTTCAAAGTCGTTGTAGTTGTCAGGAATCTGAAACGGAGGTTCCTGAGGTGGTGCCCACGATGAAGGGAACGGTGGTAACGATCCAGCCTGTGGACGAGGGAGAGAGTTGCGAGGACGCTCACGGAGGGGTTCTTGAGTTTTGCGGAAGGTTGTGAAAACATCTGGAAGATCCTTGGGGTTATTCAAACCAGTGTCGCGACTAGTTACACGTATTAGTGAGTTATTCAATATGAACACTTTGACAGTCAAGTAGACTGACAGGCTGAACTTACTCGTCGATGTAGTACTTTTCGTCCGGCCAAAGCTTGAAGTTGATGTTGTTCTCGGAACATACAGATGCTACAGCATTTTGATCGTCAACCTCCTCCTTCGATACTTCCTCTGTCATCCAAACCGTATCGACAGATTGATGTTCATCGTGCAGAGACTTGATCAAATGCTTGAGGACGTTGTCGAAGCTTCCGACACGAACCAACATGCCACTACTGATGTCCTCGAGATTTTGTTTCACATCCCAGATAGACTCAGCTTGGAACTTGGCTCGGGCAGGGCCACATCTCCAGAAGCGGCCTACCTGACTTCGAGCTTCGGGGTAAGGAGACTTTTGACCTTCAGCAACGAAGCCTGAGGTTTCAATTTGGTGAGGGGGGAGGATATAGATGGGGAGGAAATGAGTGAAGCCATGGTCAGAAGTGGCCAGGTGGTGAAGGATAGGGTTGTCAATTGCCCTGAGATCGCGGCGAAGTAGATAGACGAGGAGTTTATTCCCAGCCATGATGTCAAGATTACAATTGCGTTGTCGTAATGCAAGTTGAGGCCCGAATGGAGCGTTTATGGTATGGTCTATGGTTCAGGGACCTAGTTTCGGATCCGAAGGGAGATATCTTGAAATGGCGGAGATGTTGTCAGGCCTTCCACTATGTGGTTGTGCGGGAGGGGCCTAGTTTTGGGACTGGGATGGGCTCAATATTCGGGCCACCCAATGGTTTTGTTTAAACGGCTGGGAAGAGTGTGTGGGAGGTATTTGGTTGGGCCGTGTACGGTACAGCAACAGCAGTTGAGCTGATTTGAAAGTTGATTGTATTTGTGGGCGTTAAGAAGGGTTTGGATACCTTACTTGTGACGATATAGTGTAGCGGTAGTCGAACAAAGTTGAAGGAAAGCTGAATAGGAAGAGAAACTTCTCAGAAGCAAACGAGTCTGGTAACTCGACAGAAGAGTCTCGAAGGTAGAAGGGCAGAGGGTCGGGTTGTATGTAGGTATTGCGTAAGTGATTAAGACAGAGCTAAAGAAGTCTGGTCTGACTAGATAGATGGGGAACAAGCGGATACTGAGGATATCAAATAGATCATGGATATCAGAAACTGGGATCTGGCTGCTACTATAACTTTAGCTCGTCTTAGCTTAGTTTAGCAGCTTCAACGGTTCCTGGCCAGATATACCGTGAAGCAACGTCGTAGCCTCGATGCGGATGTAGCCACAGGGGTGTATATATCGCCTGCCCACGACCCTTGGATGGGATGGAGGAAGCTAGGCGGGAGCCTAGTGTGAAGTGAAGTGACGGGTGGGTTCTCCTGGTAGTTGATAGTGGATATGATGATGGCATCCAGGTCCCCTAGACGCGGGAGTGAAGCTGTTTGAACCCCGGTTCAGCTCAACTTGACTCAAAGGTCAAGTCTAGATGGTTGAGAAGAGAAGAGGGTGTCTAGAGCTGAAAGGCAGGCTGAGACAGAGAATGAGTGCAGGAGAGTCGAGAGAGTGATCGAGAGAGTGAGTGAGTGAGTGAGTGAGTGAGTGTGTGGTGTGTAAGAATAGATCCAATATCAACTTCAACCAACCGCAGTTGAGAAGAGGAGAATACAATAGGGGAATGAGAGAACAAGGCGAGAGTTGAATGCAGATGATGACGATGATAATAAGAATCTAGACTAGGTAGGTACAGGAGGTGAATGGAGATCCTCCTTCCTAACGTTGGGCCAGGCCACGGCGAATTTTCTCGTTCCAGGGACCGGACCTGCAGAATGCAGTGATCGATACACTAATAACTCTCCGATTTGTCCAGGTCTAGAAACCCGGGACAATCATAAAAAGCGCCTTTTTTAGAGAGGATAGTGATAGCTCGATATCTTTGTCGTTTAACACGATACGGTGCCACGGCAAGGTCCAGAATAGGTAAAAACCCGACAATAAGAGGCGATGGCGATGCTGATGCTGATGGCGATGGAGATACCGGTAGAACAAAAAGAAAAGAAAATCAGAACTTGGAACAAAAAGAAAATAGAGCAAAAGTAAAGGCAGAAAGAGACCAACAGTCATTTGGACCCTGATCGGCCCATGACGGAGAACCCGGTTGTTGCGGCGGCGCCATTGCTATGATGATTTGATTTGACCGTGAATTTTTTGCTATGTTGCTACGATGCGCTTTGCTTTGTCGTGATCCAAAGTTCGATTTCCATGCCTCTACAACGAACCTCTAGATCGGACCAAAGACGGGAGCTCTAGCCGACAGGGGTTAAGGGTAAGGCTCAAGCGAATGGACAGTGACAGGTCACAACAGAAGCAACGACAGGGGACGGGGAGCAAAGAGGCTGCTAAAAAAGTTTAAAGTGTGTCAAGTTTTATTCGCTCCAAGCGACGATCTTTTTCTGCTCCCCCTACCTCTCAGTCTCAGCAAATGCAACCCAAACATGAGTGAGTGAGGTGATTCTGCTTGGCCCTGGGGCGGGACAACGCGCAGTCTTGCATCGCACCTCATCCTCAAGTTGTTCTGCTTTGGGGCCGGAGGCTTACAGGGGGGCTTCAGGGCGTGTCCGACCAGGCTCGGCTCTCATGTCTCGCCGGGTCTCTCAGGCACAGGCAGTAAGCACTGAGTGGGGTGGGGCTCAATGGCGAGAACATCACCAAACTTAGTACATGAAAACTAGACCGTTGATGATTGACGTCCCTCAGCTGACACTTGACAAGGGGGAAGATTTCCATAAACAGAAACCCTCATATCCGTAAACCGTCAATCATGTCTCAATTGATCACAGGTTGCTCGCCCTGGACGAACGTTTGACTGCTGTGCTTCCCCCCTATCAAGCCTCACCTGTTACTTGCGTACGCACATTCAATGTTGTCTCCGCCTCACTTCTCTCTTCTCTTCTCCTTGTCTTGTCTTGTGTG